CGGGAGACCCGCCAAGGTCATTTGAAGGTCAACTTTGTTTTTTCAAATAGGAACCCCTATTTTCGACCCCGGATTCGGAAAGAGCGGAAAATTCTACGTTTAGATGACCTATCATGCGTGGGGTCCGGGAGACCCGCCAAGGTCATTTGAAGGTCAACTTTGTTTTTTCAAATAGGAACCCTTATTTTCGACCCCGGATTCGGAAAGAGCGGAAAATTCTACGTTTAGATAACCTATCATGCGTGGGGTCCGGGAGACCCGCCAAGGTCATTTGAAGGTCAACTTTGTTTTTTCAAATAGGAATCCCTAATTTTAACCCCGGATTCGAAAAGTACAAAAAATCCTAAATATTTTATGTAATGAATTAATTCAACTTTCCATGGCCATTTAAACGTCAAATTAATGGCAAATTACTTTACTCAGAACAGTTTCATGTTTTCATATGAGAAATAAAGTATGCGTAAATTTTAGAACAGACTAAATATATTCAACTTTTTATGTACAGAGTTTAACAAAAAAATATTAGTCATTAGTAGTAATAATCAACAGTATTAGTCAATCTGATGAGGAATAACTCAATAATAACAATAATAATGATCTGTCAATAAGTTGGTGATGAATGATGCGCACGCACAATTACATGAGATGTTCAATAGGTCCCCCATTGTTTGCTAAGCATGTTTCCAAACGCCGATGATAATTATTGAGAACGTTTGTAAGTATTTCAGGCGTAACAGCTGCAAAAGCTCTTCTCACTCTATCCATCATATCTAATCTAGTGGTAGGTGCATCCTTGTAAACAGCGTCCTTGCAATATCCCCAGAAATAGCTGTCTAGTGGATTCAGGTCAGGAGACCTAGGTGGCCAGGGAACTGGACCACCTCGACCTATCCAATGGTCACGTAATTGAGCATTCAAAAATTCTCTAACGTTTACAGCAAAGTAAGCTGGAGCACCATCTTGTTGTAGCTACATGAGCTGCCGAACATTCAGTGGGATGTCCTCCAAGTATTCAGGTAGATGATTCTCCAGAAAATCAAGATACGCTTGGCCGTTGACATTGCCATCAAAAAAATGGGGACCAATAATATGCCCGTTGAATATTCCCACCCAAACATTAAGACTCCAACGGTGTTGATTTATCACTTGACGATGCCAATGAGGATTGACAGGTGACCAATAATGACAATTATGTCTATTGAGTTTACCGTCACTTTTGAAGGTAGCTTCATCGCTAAAACAAACATTCCAAAAGAAATTGGGATCCTCGTCCAGTTGATTAAGAGCCCACCTACAGTAATTCATTCTGAGTAAATAATCATTTTCATTGAGTTCTTGGTGCATGATGATGTGGTATGGATGGTAACCCACGGATCTTAACATCCGATGAGCAGTAGTACGAGGTACGCCCAACCGACGTTCGATTTCTCTTGTACTGATGTGAGGATTCACATGAACCATTGCTAACACAGCAAGAAGTCTTGGATCATTGTTGTTCACATTTCTGTTTCCACCTCTCTGTCGATGAAGATCATTCATACGGCAACGTCTTTCGATATTTCTGATTTGCCTGTCATTAGGATGGCGCTGGTTCGGAAAACGTTCAGCATAGAGACGAGCAGCAGCTCGGTAGTTCCGGCGACATTCACCAAGTACTAACAATACTTCAACGACTTCATTTCCTGAATAATTGGTCATTCTGTGAAGAAATATCAAAGACGTAATGCATATTTGAAAGATAACACTAACCACAAGAGTGGTAATAATTTGTTAATACTTACATGAAAAACGCTCAACGACTTTTTCAACAGTTGTTAAAAAAATGCTTACTATTAATAATCACTCATCTCAACACTAAATTCGTCACTCCGTTCAAAACAAAAATCGACGTTTTTATTCAAAAACTTACTTTTACCTCTAAATGAGCATAAAGAATTGAATACACGTTACATCTCGACGTTGACAGAACGGACAACCTTCCATACTTCCCGAATCCGGGGTCGAGAATAGCGATTCCTATGAAAAATAGTTAACCTTCACATGTTCTTGAGTGATCAACCACAAGTTACACCTTGCCTGAACGTAGAATTTTTTGTTGTTTCCGAATCCGTGATAAAAAAAGTAGGGTACTCCAGGAAAAAACAAAGTTGACCTTCAAATGACCTTGGCGGGTCTCCCGGACCCCACGCATGATAGGTTATCTAAATGTAGAATTTTCCGCTCTTTCCGAATCCGGGGTCGAAAATAGGGGTTCCTATTTGAAAAAACAAAGTTGACCTTCAAATGACCTTAGCGGATCTCCCGACCCCACGTATGGTAGGTCATCTAAACGTAGGATTTTCCGCTCTTTCCGAATCCGGGGTCGAAAATAGGGGTTCCTATTTGAAAAAACAAAGTTGACCTTCAAATGACCGCGGGTCTCCCGGACCCCACGCATGATAGGCCATCTAAACGTAGAATTTTCCGCTCTTTCCGAATCCGGGGTCGAAAATAGGGGTTCCTATTTGAAAAAACAAAGTTGACCTTCAAATGACCTTGGCGGATCTCCCGGACCCCACGTATGGTAGGTCATCTAAACGTAGGATTTTCCGCTCTTTCCGAATCCGGGGTCGAAAATAGGGGTTCCTATTTGAAAAAACAAAGTTGACCTTCAAATGACCTTGGCGGATCTCCCGGACCCCACGTATGGTAGGTCATCTAAACGTAGGATTTTCCGCTCTTTCCGAATCCGGGGTCGAAAATAGGGGTTCCTATTTGAAAAAACAAAGTTGACCTTCAAATGACTTTGAAAATGACCCTCGAGGTCAAAGTCAAGGTCACCATAATATGTCCCCCTCGGAGACGAGTAACTTTTATTCGAAACATTTTTCGCTAGCTCTCATAGTTTTTGGGTTATCTTGGTGCGTAAGTTAAAATGGGACACCCTGTATATATATAAATAAAAATTGATGAATAAATAAATATTTTTTGAGAAAAATAAAAACTTTTTGATATATATATATATATATATATTGAGAAAAAAATATATATATATTTTTCTCAAAAAATATTTATTTATTCATCAATTTTTATTTTATATCCTTCAAAGTAATCCCCCTCGGATATAATGCACTTGTGCCAACGCTTTTTTCAATCCTCAAAGCATTTCAAAAAATCATTTTTTGTGATCTTGTTTAGTTCATCCTTCGATGCCGTCTTTATCTCCTCAATCGTGGCAAAACGCCGTCCTTTCATGGGCCTCTTCAGTTTTGGGAACAAGAAGAAGTCACAGGGGGCCAGATCAGGGGAATACGGTGCCTGTGGCATCGTTACTGTGTTGGTTTTAGCCAAAAAGTCGCGCACAAGCAACGATATGTGAGCAGGGGCGTTATCATGGTGCAAAAGCCAATTTTTATTTTTCCACAAAATCGGACGTTTCTGGCGGATTGCTTCGCGCAAATTGCGCATAACTTGCAGGTAATATTCCTTATTTACTGTTCAACCCTGTGGCAAGAACTCATAATGCACCACGCCCCTGCAGTCAAAGAAAACTGTAAGCAAAACCTTTACATTTGATCGAACTTGGCGTGCTTTTTTTGGTCTTGGTGATCCAGAATGCCTTCACTGGGACGATTGAGTCTTAGTCTCGACGTCATAACCGTATACCCATGTTTCGTCACCTGTTATAACCCTGTTGAGTAAATCTGGATCATCGTTGACGTCATTCAGTAGCTCTTGGGCGATGCTCATGCGACGTTTCTTTTGGTCGAAATTGAGCAATTTCGGAACAAACTTCGCTGACACACGTCTCATATCTAAAACACTCGTCAAAATTGATTGGCACGAACCAAATGAGATGCCAATATCATCAGCAATTTCTCTAATGGTAATTCGACGATTTCCCAACACTATTTTCTTCACTTTTTCAACATTCTCATCAGTTGTTGATGTCCAAAACGAGGTTCGTCGTCGGTGTCTTCTCGGCCTTCTTGGAAGAGTTTATACCACTTGTAAACATTTTTTTGGCTTAAAGTAGACTCACCGTATGCCACTTTCAGCATTTCAAGTGTTTTGGAACATTTGATTCCATTTTTCACACAAAATTTATCCATGTGTTTAGACAGCAGCAAATCGTGGAGCACGCAAAACACTTCTAACCTTGATGCCTCTCACAAACAAACCAAACATACTACAAAGCTGAAATTTGGAACGTATGTTCTAGACGAGTGTACCGACATAACCAAATAAAAAAGTCGAAGATCGAACGGACGTAGCCCGCTAAATTTCAAAATTCACCTTACTTTTTGATCACACCTTGTATATATATATATATATATATATATATATATATATATATATTCATATATTATCAAATAAATTCTATAACACGTAACATACTGTCTTGATAATAATATAATATAATTTTCTTAAATGAAAAATTTTGTAATAATCGAAAGAAGGGAAATAGTGAGAGATGGAAATTCACTTAATTTTAATTATATTCAGCAACGTTTTTTCAGCACATTTGGTAACCTCTTCAGGCTGATTTCTCTCGTCGTCAAATTATTATAGACTGAAACGAATAGCTCGTAGCACAGTCAAGTTACAATAACATTGTTTATTTATTGTCATTTGTTGTAACTTGTTATTGTAACTTGACTGTGCTACGAGCTATTCGGTTTTAGCCTATAATAATTTGACTATGAGAGAAATCAGCCTGTAGAGGACAGCAAATTTGCTGACGAAACGTTGCTGGATATAATTAAAATTAAGTGAATTTCCATCTCTCACTATTTCCCTTCTTTCCATCATTACAAAATTTATCATTTAAAAAATTATAAGGGAATCAAGACAGTATGATACGTTTATAACTCTGTACAGTTAAGTCATATTAAAACTAAAATATAAATCTAAGAATACTGAAAAATTTTGGCTATATGAAAAATTCTTGTTTTATCATTATTATTATAAAATGTATAACAATGTTGATTTGAAATAACCGATATCATGAATGTTTTTAGAGAAGAAAAAAAATATGTTGGGCCTAGTTTTCCAACAATATCAGCAGTTGGAAGACACGGGGCTATTATACATTATCAGCCATCATCATATACTGACATTGCTATTAATTGTCAAGAAATTTATCTTTGTGATGCTGGAGCACATTTTGTCAATGGAACAACTGATATAACTAGAACCTTGCATTTTGGCCAACCTTCAGTATATGAGCGAGAATGTTTTACCCGTGTTTTAAAAGGACAATTACAACTTTCAATGTCAAAATTTCCTTCAATGATCAAAGGCAATTACTTGGATACTTTAGCTCGCAAATTTTTATGGGATGTTGGGTAAATATTTCCTTTTCTATAAATGTCTTATTGTGATCAATATGTGGAATTTTAAACTTATCAAAATCAATTTTCAAGTTTGCGAGTTACGGGTTGTTGATCTTTTTCGTTACCCAGGTGCTATCTAGCATATTAGGTGTGTCAAATGAATAGCGCGACGGATAATTTTCACCTATTCTTTATTAATGTAGACGAGAAAATGAGAGAAATTGTGGGTATATCGACACTAACATCTTAAATATTCTAATCGAATTGTTCTGATGAGTCGTCGAATCCCTCTGTTGGACTGCAGAGTGGAACAGAAGAGCCCTTTAAGTAATCTCGGCTAGGTGTCGCTTAATTATCCCCGTTTTAGGCCAGGCCGATGCAAGTGCTCATGCACGATGAAACGAATGCGGATGAAGTCGGAAAAATGAAATGAAATAACTGCTAGATATCAGCCGTACACGTTCAGGGCAACGATTCGTCGCCCACAATACTATTTCACCGTATTATGAGAAGACGCAAAAGCATTACCGTGATTTTCGCATGTGATATTAGTAACAAGAGATACTAGGTAACGAGAATGATCCGAGCGCTCTGGCTTTTTTATTCCATTGGAAGCGTTGGAATGTGTTGCCGGGGTGTATATTAATTCCTATTTCCACTTTTAACAATCTCTATAAAATTGTATGATCTCTTTCTACAGTATTATAATTTATATATATTGATTTATACAGGGTGTAACAAAAGTAACGATACACCCAAAAAATGTTCTAGTTTACAATATTTTTATAAATACTAAAGGTTACTCTTGTAGTAAAATTCAACGAGGAATCCAATGGTGACCTTGAAATGACCTTGAAGGTCAAGCTCAAAGTCAAATTCAAGGTCAACTTTTTTTTCAAATGGGAACTCCTAGTTTTTATTTCAGAAATGGAAAGAGCGAATAATTTTACGTTCAAATATAAACTTGACCTTCGGTCAAAGTAACCCCTGAGAGTCATTTCAAGGTCATATTTGATTTTAATGACGAATCTCGAAGTAAGTCGCATTACGAATGATCTTGCAGATAGAAGTTATAGGGTTTGGTCCAAGAAATTAACTAATGATCTTGACCTTGTCCCGAAGGTCATTTTTGAAGGTCATTTCAAGATCAACTTTAAGTTTTTAAATGGGAACCCTAGTGTTTATTTAAGAAATTGAATTTTTTTAGAAATTTATTTATTTTTCAGAAATGGAAGTTTTCAGTCCATCCTGGAGGATAATAATTACAAACTACAAATTCATAAAATTCTGGCTCATGTTCGGAAGGACAATCCAGTTTTTTGAAATTGAAGACATTATCGACAAATTTAGTGCGCCACTCTACTTTTTAATACCTTTTTACATACATAATAACATCGTCAGTGCTTACTGCTAGGCAATCGAGATCTTGTATAATATGCTAATGAAGATCATATGGTAAGTTTCCCGTATTCCAATCAAACCTAAAGAATTTAACTATAACCCATGAATTTTCACGCTTGAGAACTTCTTCCCAAGCTTATGTTGATTTAAAAATCCAATGCGCGGGTTCCATGTTGTCATTGACATTTATCATTGCTAGCGTTTTAAAAATTGGTTGATCATCGAACTCAAAATGATTTTCATGTCAAATCTACAGCGATAGAAAATTAGACAGGAATATAGTTTAATTTTTTTTAATACCTTGTGGAGGGATTAGAATGTAACATGATTTTTGCCCTCGACCGAATGTGATGAAGCATTGATTTTGATGCGTATTTTATAAATTACCCCTTTCACTTTCGTATACTTTATTCAGATAGTAGCTTGGTAAATAAATGTTTTTGAATGTATAAGTTCTTTTTTCATATATGCCAGTAACAGAGCGACCTGTTGCGAAAACGAAGAATATACTTTAGATACGTGTAGTACTTGTGGTGAAGAGGATTGCTAATGAGCATACTCGTATGTGAGGTAGCCGATGCCGAGTCATTTCTCATTGATATCTATAGTTAGTTATTTTTTGTATATGCAAGAGCGAAAAAAATGGAAATTTTACAAGTCTGTTTAGATTACTTGTATGTATTTGAAGAAGCTACAAACCTTATTATTTCGGAAAATATACTTAATGAACAAATGATAGAGCGATAGAAAAAACAATGTGTCTTTTCTTTGTGGACTTTGAAAAAAATTTTCAAACAATCATCTCTTGGTGTGCCGCAAAAACAATCATTGCTCAATATTATTGGTAAACTTGAATGTATTCCTTTACGATTAGAAAATTGTAAAGTTTATAGAGAAGGTTTAGGTAATAATATGAATAATCGTGTACAATGGGTTGATTTGGATAACGCATTCGACAACTGTTTGAAAACTAGTATTGTAGCCAATATTCAACACATTGATATCGAATCATTCTTGAAAGATGCATGTAGTTTATTTGTAACTACATAGCCACTCACGGTGGCGGCGGCCCCCAAGATCCCTGCACCCTAGCAGACGAAAGACGCCGGGCCACATACCAAAACCACATTTTTAACCGTCGAACTTAAACCTTAATATTAATCCTTATATATTACAAAATAAAGTGCCTAACTACCCTAGTTCCCTTCTATTTTGTTACTTACCCAGTCCTTATACCTACTTCCAAATCGGTATTAAAACGCTCTGATTCATCGTAATACCGGGTTTACCGCGCATAGTGCTCTTCATTCGCTCATACCTTTCACAAACATTTTTTGTTACTACATTTTTTTCATTTATTTTGCTTTATTTTTTTTACTCGCTGATGTATGGTGCAATGCGGTCTGCGGAGGTGCCTTAATTTTCTTCTTGCTGTCTGGTTGACGAGTCTTGCGGTTCCTCACACCCCAAGCCTCGGCTTGGCGGGGGGGAGTGTAACTGGTCGCTCGATTAAGAGCCTTTTAAATAAATGCAGAATGGTCCAAAAAGCCAACGACAGCTCTCCGTACTCCGAATTGCACTAGCGCAGCGAATGGTAAAATAATTTACAACTAACAACTATTTATTTTAATTTTTTTTCATATGCTGTTACGCGATGAGCACCAGCGTTACAAATTTACTAACTACTAATACCTGCTATTCTTCCACTGACTACTCCGAAAAGTCAATATATGAATTCAAGCACAGGAAAATAATCAACGCTGCAAAAAAAAGGAAAAACCATCCTATGTACGCCTACATGATGCAAGAAAAATAAGGAGTCATCAAATGCTGGACGTACACGATATGGAACTCCAAGATCTACGTCCGAAAATGCACATACCATGCCTCAAATAATTATTTTAATCTTGCGTAAGCGTATCGGATATTTTCTTCATGTTGCCTACACACAGAAAATATTTTGTAATTTTGCCTATGGAAAGCAGCGATAACTTTCCTAATTTAATTAATATGCGCAATAATACTCGAAGATATCGATAACAAAAATATGTAAAGATCGTCTCGATATTTATCTCGAATTTATATACCGAGAGATACAAATTAACCTCTCGCTATTATTTAATAAAATTCATTTTAATATTCGTCTCAATTTAAATGCTGCTCGATATGCATATTCATATTCTACGCTAGCCACGCCCACTTACGTCTAAGCCTATGCGAAAAGAACGAGATAGCTTAATAGATAGAAAAGGACGGCGTATCACACTCGGCTTGCCTAGTAGATAGAGACAGAATAATATCTTGATCGAAGCGATAGGGAAAGATAACGTCATGAGCGAAAATTATCGAAATCAAATTGTATTGCGACTATGAATATTCATGACTAGGAGAAAGTGGAGAGGGAAGAATTAGCGAGAGTTTGCCGATGGCTTTAGTCAAGTACAGACGTATAGTTCTGTCTCTTTGAATCATTTTGCAGATCTTTTCCTCGTGACTTTCCAAAGTTCAAGTGCCTGTGCACCATAGCTTGCTCGTGCTCACCGTGCCTAAATTTTGAGATTAATTGTCACATTATTGGATGGAATAGGCATTACTGGCGATAAGAGATTATTTTGAGCGTATACCAGCTTTACATAAAATTAGAGTGAGTACCGCACGACTTATCGTTACCCAGACTTTTGCCAATTTCATTTCATTATTCATCTCGATCCGCATAAATGTGCCGTATACCAGCGAAATAACTGACTTAATGAATAGTGCGAGGAGGAGTACGTAATAGCGCATTCGCGTTCGAAAACTCGTCGTGCCTATTTTTATTTTGCGAAATCTTGTCTATTTTGTTATTAATAGTTTTAAGATAAGAGCCTATATCCTTAGACTAACATTTACGCAAAATAATATCGTCATTGTATGTTATCTACTCTTCACATTTACACAATCTCTTTGTCTAATAAATCGGTTCAATTAATTTTGAATCTAACTGTATGATATATTCTAAAACTCCCGCCTTGTCCTCTATCCATCCGACCTTGGGTTTCGCTCCAGCTTCGACAGAGAACCAGCGGAGTTAGTAAACATATAGCCGATTTTGATCCGACTACTTGCTATCAAGGTAAGCCACGACCAAGCATCGATTGAGCTAAGCCGCGGATAAATATCGCGGATAAACAAATCTGTACACCTATTGATTCGAGAATAATATTTTGTCAGCTTCATAGTTCAAGGGGATTAGCCTGACGAAATGCCAAATTACTCTCTATAAAATTATTTACAGTGCGGGTTGAAAATTCCAACGCCCGCCCTTACTACTCAGGGTGGCACTCCCCTGAAGAATTAATCCTGCTTAATTAGTAGTGCCTGGCGCCCAATAATCTAATAAATTAATTATCGCAATTTGGGATTAATATTCCGCCAAGTAGCATGGTAATCATTTAGTCGGTGAAAGCACAACACACAGTTACATATTTACAGCATATGTCAAAAGTATTTTAAGAGTAAATAATGTATGTAAAATTAATGCAAGGCTATCGTGCACATTTTTAAAATATTCAAGTAATGAAGATAAGATTGAAAAGACTTATAATACAAAGCATTTTAACACGAAACATGGA